AATATCCTAATAGCACATCGAACACACAATGTCATTACCCAATTCATTAAGTATGTGGACCCGGCTTGGATCTCACCCAAAGAATCAAAGCAATAACAATTATGTGCACATGCCTATTTAATATCTTATGGGTTAAGAGCACGCAATAATTAGCTGAGGCCTAGTTCGTTTACGACGATTAGTGTAAAACGAACATCGCTCTCTGGGATCCTGTTCAATACATAAATGTACTAGTGCAACTAATCGGTCAAGACAAACCGTACGGTTGACACTACAACCGTTCTGATGGGTTGTTCAATTCCATCTAGGTTGTGAACCAACGATTCTTGTTTCGCAAGTAACTGATATAGTGATCTTCGGTACGCCCGATGACGACCCACTTATCTACATGCAAAACAACAGAACGTGGAACTTATTTAACCAAACATAATTCTTATTCATCAAGGAATAACAAGTGTAATATCCACTAAAGCAAAGCTTAAGTATATAACACCAACACTATCGTTGCATCATCAATATCATTGTGGACAATAGGAACATCCACATATATCGATGGACTCACAAAATCCAGAAGTGGGATAAGAAGACGTGCCGACATTGCTCCGTTTATTTTCGGAAGTCGAAGCACGACCACCACCACGAGAAGTTGACATTTTTAATATAAAAGAAGAGAAATTAGAGAGAGTAGAGAGATTAGAGAGAAGAGAGATTGGTGTGGAAATGAGGGGGGTATTTATAGGAATTTTTTAGGTTTTTTTTTTTTAGAAACCGAACTTTCGGTTTTTTTTTTATTTTTTAATTTCGGGACCCGCCGGGTCGGGCGGGCTGGGCTACAATGGGCCATTGGATTTCAACGGCTAGACCGATCTAACGGCCAATTTTTTTTTTCTTGGGACCGACCCAACCCGTGGTCGGAGGGCCCAATGACTTTTTTGTCAGATGCCAGTTTTTTGTCAGACGGACGGGTCGGGTCAGGTCTACCCGAACTGGCCTGTCCAATAATTTAAAAGAAAATTAATAATGAAAAAATTACCACCGGGTGCGAGACCGGCAGCGGGCCCACAAACCGGTCCCGGCCCGTCCCGACCGCCGGTACAAAAAAATGGGAATGACCGAACCGCATGGGCCGGGTCCGATTCATAGGCCCGCGCATTTTCGGGCCGGTGCTTGTGTCGGTTCGGTCTGGGCCGATAAGGGAGATGAAATTACGGTAAGGGAGAAATAGGGAGAAGAAGAAAAGAAAAGGAAAAAGGAAAAAAAAAATGGAGAAAAAGTTTTTGGGCTTAGTGAATTGTTTTGAGTTTGGCCTCTTGGGCCAAAATTGGAACAAAATGGGCCACAAGAGTATGTGTTTCTGATTTGAGGGCTATTAGGAATTTTGCCGAATTAATATTGGTTGACATCTGCTGCTCGTTTCGAAAAAAAAAATATTGGTTGACATGGCAAGAGAATTCAAAAGGGATATGGGTTTTTGCAAAGCTTTTCTGAAATGGATATGGGTTTGTATATCTTCTTCTTCATTTTACTTCAATATAAATGGGCAAGTTATGGGTAATCTGACTCCTACTAGAGGTCTGAGGCAGGGAGATCCTTTATCTCCCTATCTCTTTATTATTCTGTCAGAAGTTTTGTCAAACTTAATTAACCAGGCTTGCATTTCCAAATCCTTTATAGGGCTCAAAGTTAGTAAATATGCTCCTAATATATCTCATCTATTTTTTGCTGATGATTCTCTCATTTTTTGTCAAGCTGATAATCATCATGCTTCTCAAATTCTTTATATTCTGAATACATTTTGTTCTATGTCCGGTCAGTCTGTTAATCTTGCCAAATCTAATATCTTCTTTTCTAGGAATACTCATGAATCTGTTAAAAACTCTATTTGTCTTATTTTGAATGGAATTGTGGTGGCTAAGAGCTCCAAATATTTGGGGCTTCCTTTGGGGATAGGTAGAAATAAGAGAGATACTTTTTCCTTTGTGAAAGAGAGTGTAGTTGCTAAGATAACTAATTGGAAGCATAATTTTCTGAGTGAAGCAGGTAAAGAAGTGCTTATAAAAACAGTGTTGAGTGCTCTTCCTGTGTATGTTATGTCAGTGTATAAAATCCCAGTGAGTGTGTGTAGGGAGATATGCAGGGAGATAGCAGGTTTTTGGTGGGGAAAAAATGATGAGGGGAGTAAAAGAATACACTGGGCTCAATGGGATTATTTAGCTAGGGATAAGGATGAGGGTGGTATGGGTTTCAGGGATTTAATAGATTTTAATACAGCCCTACTCATGAAACAACTATGGAGGGTTTTGACAAAACCTAACATACTTATGAGTAGGTTGATCAGGGGGACATATCTATATAGGAAATGTTTATGGGAGGTTCAGAAGAGAGATAGGGATTCATGGATGTGGAGGAGTTGGTTGGAGGTTAGGGATGTTCTTAAGTTGGGTTTTAGATATCAGGTTGGGACTGGAAAATCTATAGATATATGGAAAAATCCCTGGATACCTGATACTCCTTTGTTTAAACTTGTTTGTTATTTTGAAGGGAGTAGGGAAAGGTTATGCAAAGTATCTGATCTGATGACAGCAGATGGAAAAGCATGGGACACTGAGCAGATCATGCAGTCCTTCTCTCCAAATGATGCTACAAATATTCTCAAAATCCATATAAGTCATACAGGGATGCAGGACAAGATCATATGGCATTTTGAAGACAGTGGGAGATTCACAGTGAAAAGTGCATATAATTTGATTCAGAGGATAAAGAAGGGGAATACAGAACAGGTTGGAACAAGTAGGGATGGGGAGCTGCAGAAGAAGATTTGGAGGAAAACATGGAGCCTGCAAATAAAGCCAAAAATCAAGAATTTTTTATGGAGATGCTATCACAATTGGGTCGGTACAATGGACAATCTGAAAAGAAGAGGGGTGCAGGTGGATAGTATGTGTTGTTGGTGTGGAGAGGCAGAGGAGAGTGTAGACCATCTATTTTTCTATTGTGATAGAGCACAAAAAATGTGGAAGATTGCTGAATTGAGTTGGAACATCATACAGCAAGCCTCAGGTAGCTTTCAACAATGGTGGCAGGAGATGTGTGAAATGAGAGAGGAAGACCATAACAGAAAAAGAATTGCCCTATCCACTTACCTGTTATGGTGGCTGTGGAAAACGCGAAATAATTGGGTGTTTAACAGGATACATAGTGAGGAGATGGTTGTGGTAAATGGGGCTAGATCAGAATGGCTTGAATATGAGGAGGTGAGAGGGGGGGGGAGGGGGGACAAGGAAAATCAGCCACTGGATGGTCAGAAGAATGAGGGTCAAGCTACAAATGTGGAACAAGGAGTAGGGTTGAATGCAACCAGTGCTAATGTACCACAAACTATTCTGGAAGGAGCTGAAGGACAGACTAGGGAGCAGGGCATGGACATTCACCAATAGCAAGACTCTAGGAGTGGTGGCTCACATTACTCAATAGAGGCTATGCTACTAACTTTGAGGAAATGACTTGAGGAGGGAGAGGCAAAAGGATGACAGAGGGTGGAACTTAGAATTCATAACAAAGGCTTCTTCAAGAGACTGCAAACTAGAGGTGGCTTTAATGTGAAGCTAGAAGCTCTTGCATATGATATTTTCAGCTTAATGGACAGGTTTCTTGATGTAGTAGTGTTGTCTGTTCATTAGATGGTTAAGTGTTTTTTCTTTTTGTGTTGGTGATGGGTTTAGTTCTAGTATAGTGTTGTGTTTTTCTGTAAAGTGTTGTATCTATCTTTGTTGTTTTTGGCTAGTTTTTGTGTTTTTGTCGATGGGCTAATGAGGCTGTGTAGGGGAACCCTTGATGGTATCCTCCTGTTTCTCTTTTCGACCGTTTGGTTGGTCGGTTATGTACAAACTTTGAGTTTATTAATAATATGATCATTTGAGGTGTGGAAAAAAAAAAAAGAATTCAAAAGGGACTGGACTCTTAATTGAGGGCAATTGGAAAGATCACTTTGTTTGGAGTCGTGAGTGGCTGAGGGATAAGAAATTGCAATTTGGATGGACTCTTGTAGAGTAGCCATTAATGGGAGGAAATTAATTCATCTTGCTTAACTAGAATTCAAATGACGTAAACAGAGGCGAAAAAAATTTGGCCAATTTACATATATCTGACGTGTTTTACAAGTAGTTGCAGTCTTACGATAAATAATAAAGAATTTGTGTCTATACTCAATACTAAGGAGCCAATAATCAATAGGACAGTTTCATGTGTGGGGTTGTCCCAAATTGGAGCTATGTGGGACAATCTCACGTGGAGCTGTCCCATTGGATGTTGGCTTCGTAACGGAGCCAACAGTTGGTTCCTTAGCATTATTGTCCCTTAAAACCTGCATCTAATTAATAAAAGAAACAGAAACCAAGACACAATCTTCCCCATCATTTAAACTACACTAGTATCCATCCTGTGCACATGCACAAAGAAAAATAAAAATTTATATATTATATTTATGTATAAAATATATACAAATTTTATATTAAATAATTGATGTATTACATTTTAAATTTGGACTACATGCAAATGTGTAATGTAAATATAATTTACTTAACGTATAAATCTTTATATTGATGCCATAAATTTTAATGACTAATATAATTTAGTAATTTAGAGGGACCATGCAATTAATTAGTTAGAAAAATATATAATTATTTTTATCATTGTTA